CTCCACCTCTCTCTCTCTCTCTCTCTCTCTACTCTCCCCTCTTTTCTCTTCTTCTCATGTGCAAGCCTCTTAAAATGGGAGATCCAGTCAGCTGCAAACGCCACGTCAAGGCGTTTTTTTGCATTTGTTTTTTGAAGCAGTTTCCGTAACGCTTAGGTTTGTTTTTTGGGCGAGCTTTTTCATTTTTCTGTTTTTTTTTTTCATTTTTCTGTTTTTCTTTACTTCTGTGGAGTGCAGGCTTTTTTTTTTTTTTTTTTTGTTCATTTTTTAAATGGATCATCCTGTCTCCATTGCTACCGTCAGCGCTTCTTATTTTACTTTATATATATATATATATTTTAACATGAACTCACGATCATCCGTCGGTAGATTCCAAGTTCGTTTAATAGTTAAAGATGATTATAAGTTCTTAATATGTATGATCCCTTATACGTCTAAACGAATAGGACTTGAAATATTTTATCTCCAACAATTTATGACTACGAGTCGGGTCCAACCGGACCTGGACTCGAATAGTATTCAGATCTAGGTTTTAGACCCGAACCTGACCCGCCAAGTCCCAATGTTGGACTCGACAATTTACGAGTATGGGTTGGGTCCAACAGGACCTGGACTCAAATAGTGTTCGGATCTAGGTTTTAGATCTGAATCCGACCCGCCAGGTCCCAATGTTGGACCCGTGTCATGTATACTCGACAAGTCCCAAGTCCAGTCCAAGTCCATTGCCACCCCTATCTAAAATCAATTTTCTATATTAATTATGAAATGGAAAAGTATAGAATGATATCATTACTTTTAGTACAATGTGAGACATTAATCTTGACCATTGGATGTGAAATTGGTTGGCTATAATTATACATATTGACCATGCTCAAACTTCAAACATATTTTTCTCGATCTTTATGACACATCCAAGCTATCAAACATCACATCCGATGGTTGTAAGTAATTATGACTACCTTATATCAAAAGTAAATGGACTCATTGTATACAATCCCTTTTGAAATTTGAAGCTTAGAAAATAATAGAGATTTTTTATATATATGAACATTTATTTTTAGGCTAAAATAAATGGTAGAATATACATTATTTTAGGATTTGAAATTATTATTTTTTTACAATTATAACGCAAAGAAGATCGACTTAAATCATTTAGATAGGCAGTAGCCTAAAAAGGGAAACATATGAAAGAAAAACTTTCTATGTGAGCCAGGCAGAAGCAAGAGCCTGCTAAACCACGGTCGTCCATCATAGACGTTAGTGTAAAGTGCACCGGACTAAAATAGGATATGCGAATGTATATTTTAAGACCATGTGTAAGGTTGTCACAATCACTACGCGCCATTAGATGTTAATTTGGATGGCTTAGAGTATCACAAAGTTTTAGAAATTTTTTTTTTGAAATTTGAGTTAAGTCAATAATGCACTCACAATCATCCAATTTGAAATTTGATGAACGAGATTGATTCTGACCTCTTTGTATCAAAAGTAGACTGTCTTTTTACATTTTTTTCACAATACATAGATGGTGCAAAAAACTCTCTAAAAAATATATTTTAATTTTAGAAACTTTGTTTTTTACCATATTCATGATCACCTTAGTCTAGATCATGAATCTTTAAAACTTTGGATTAAAAAAATCTATCTTTAAGATGGGTTTAAAGGTGGAGGCATGTGTACATTTGAGTCGGTTGACTCACAGAAACCCCATACTTTCTTTTGTAGTAGTTTAGAGGAGATGGATCCCATACCACTAGTAATAAAATTTAAGAAGTACGCCACCCTAACCACCTAGCCTTGACCCCATTTATGAAATCCCATCTTTTATTAAATTATTCCTGAACTTTTTTACAAAAAAAAACCTGTTGTCCTTATTCAACTATTTCCAACTCAACGTGACTTGTATTTTTATAGATATTTTGAAATTAAATCAAAAGATATAAATAAAATAATCAAATAGTTAATCTCTTATGCGTATTTTGATAAATTTCTTTTTGAAAAATACTACAAGGTACAATTGCCTAGAATAATTTTTATTTGGGAAAGTTTATCAAAATACCTTAAGGGCCCGTTTGTTTTTTTTTTTTGAAAGATAGCATCTGGAAAGTTGAATGTTTTGTTCTGAAATATTTAAATAAGTTATCGACATTGTATTTGATAACCTGCTGGAATGTTAAAAAAATTATAAGTACTGTGTTTGATAACATATACATATTAACCATATAAATGTAA